ACTATAATAACGTATACAATTTATCAATTTGATAGTATGGTTAGCAATGTTTTCATATTTTTTTCTTTGATGATTCAGCTATAGAAGCCTTTATCCTATTAATATCCTCTTCGAGTTGATTTGACACTAATTATATGTGTCGATTTGTCTTACTATCTATCTTCAAAGATGGATCATATATCCTCTTTAATAGTTCTTTAATCCGATTAGCTAGCATTTATCGAAATTCAACCATTCATCCTTTAGGCACTTGTTTCCACGACAACAATAGTGTCGGTTTGTAAAACCATCACTTCTATCTAAACCCATATATTCTTGATTTCGACACTCAATCTATTTTGATTATTAGATTGTCTTTTATCAATTACATTTTTAGGTTTTGCGTTGTTATTATCCTTGGTTTTTCCATGATTGTAGTTTTCCATGGTTTCCATTACGGGTTCATTTTCAAAAATTTGGACCATTCCTTCAATAGAAACAGGAAGTGTTTTATCGATTTGGTCTCCTTCGGAGAGTTGACGTCTCGTCATACTTCTAGCAGTATCATGTTTTTACATTTTTCTCTCATTGTGATCGCCAAAACTTGTTACTACTCATCGAATTTAATCTTAAAGTGGAGTGTATTCATATTTTAATTTGTGATGTAGTCCTTCATAATAGAATATTATAGGGTTCAATTTCGCCTAGCAAGCCACTAGGATTTTTTATGGGTACTCAATTTAGAAAATGAGTAATAAAGTAAAAAGAATTTTATTAATCGGAAGAGACTAATTTATTAAAAGAATATAAATATCATAAATCGAAAAATATGACACTTACATTATTAGCTAGCAAGATGTTTCATGCCATTCTAACAGATCAACGCTTCCTAATTTACAAAGATAAGATTACTAAAAGCGAGTAAAAGACTAATGCACTACTTGTAAGAAAGTAGGAACTAACTATTACAAGGTAAACTAAGAAAATTGAATTAACTTATATAAGAAGTCTTGTGTTGTTGATCGTGTGTAATTTTGTTAGTCCTCCTTCCTTAAATAACTCATGATTGACTATTGCCTTTTATTTCAAATTTAAGCGCGAACGGTTATTTGGTAATTGTCCCTTTTTTTTTCTTTTTATGCATATTATCTTCGTTGAAACTAGTTGATTGCAAGCTTAAATGCATCATTTTGTTTAAACCTTATGATTTCATTAAAATATAGCTGGTTATATTACTAAATGCACCATTTCACTCTAGACTTAAGGCTCGTCAAAACTTGGTTGGTGATCGGACCAAACGCATCGTTTCATCAAAGACTTAAGGCTCTGTCAAAACATGATTGATGATAAGACCAAACTCATCATTTCATTAAAGTTTTAAGGCTTCGTCGACACTTGATTGGTTATCAAACATGTTGTTTCATTAAAGACTTAAGGCTTCATCGAAACCTAGTTGATTTATGAGAACAAACGCACCGTTCCACTTATGCTTTACTTTTTGTCATAAGAAGATGCTATATCTTGGATCGACGTATGACTTTGAATTTTGAAGTGCCAACACTCGCTCATCTTGATCTTTCAAGCGGGTTCACTTTATACACCCTCTTCTACTCATCTTTTAAATTGTGTTTTTCCTATACAATTATTGTTTCACTCACTCTAGTATTGCGAGCCATTCCCTTTCATCCAAAGGAATATTTCCCACGGACTATACCATATGCTATTGTATGCATTCCTGTTTGATATCTTGCTTGGACCTTGTAGTTTTGGGCTCTCAATGGTGAGAATCTAATTAGCCCGTCCAATGATCAAGTCAACTCTTTTTCGGTAGAATAATAGTAATTTTGGTTGATAAAAAAATACGGTCGACTATACAAGTAGTCTCAATATTACTACCAAATAATTTTTTTATATCAATTTTATTTTAAAATTTTCAAGAATTCTCAATTAAGAATTTTCATTATTTTTAAAGCTTTTCATCCATATTTTCATCCAAATTATGTTTCTTCTTTTTCTTATTCTTCTTTTTTAAGTGATGTTGTTTTGTAGAGATGTTGTTTTCTAAAGAATTTAATGTTTTTTTAAGTAATTTTAACAAAAAGTTCTTAATTGAAAAATCAAAATAATTTTTAGTGGTAAAATTGATACAAATAATAATTTGGATTCAAAATTAATAAAATTCTAATAATTTGGTAGTATATTTAATGTTTGCACTAATAATTTATAAATAGCGTGTGTGCGATGATGTGTGTATGTACCTCCTATTTGGTCTTTTTTTTTTCTTTTATATCTCACATTATGAATGATATTGTCACTAGCTAATTCCCGAAGTATCATTTTTAAGGGTGTTCATTCGGTTTTTCGGTTCGGTTTTGATTTTTTTTTTTTCGGTTTTCGATTAACCAAATTGGCTAAAACAAAAACCGAAACCGAACCGAATTGATGTTCGGTTTTTTGGTTAAAAACTGAATTTTTATTTTTTTTTGCATTTTTTTTTGGCGGTTTTCTTCTAAAAATTGAATTATTTTGCTTTTAAAAAATATCAAACTTGCATAATCAAAGATTGCATATTTCACATTTGATTTTATAAGAAAATTATGTATGATTATTATTATTATTCTATAATAAATATGTTTCTATTTATATTATAAACTAAATTAGTTGGGCATCAAAGATTGCATATTTCACATTTGATTTTATAAGAAAATTATGTATGATTATTATTATTTTTCTATAATGAATATGTTTCTATTTATATTATAAACTAAATTAGTTGGACTTCTCATTATTTTTTCAATCATGCTATAATTGGTTTTTTATTAATTTTTCATATTCTTTTTTTTAATCTATTTATTTTGTGCATATTTTATTGTTGAATATATAATATGAAAAATCTAATTTTTAATTTATGTTTGTGCCAATTTTAATACAAGGAGACAATTTTTTTTCATGAGGTTTTAGGATTCACCCATACATAAATTTGTGTTTTTATAAAGAATTTCTTTATCATAGTCTTTTTTTTTTTTTTGTGAGTCAATATAATATAATCAATTATTTTTTATTTCAATAAATAATTAATGAAAAATATTTCTATTTTAAGTAGAAAAAAATCATTAAAGCTATTGTTCTTTTAGTTAAACCGATACGTGCCTCTTTGATTTTTTTTTTTTAAAAAAAGAGTTTGGGTATGTGTTTTTTTAAAAAAAAAAAAACTAATTCGGTTTTCGGTGAAAACCGAATTTTTAAAAAAAAAAAACCAAACCGAAATTATTAATTCAGTTTAATACGGTTCGATATTTCAATTTTAACCGAATAGTGAACACCCTTGATCATTTTTTCCTTACCCATTAAGGGTATATTTATCTTTATACTAGTCATTCAAAAAACTAGGAGGAAAAAAGGATGGTGAAATTCTCGCTTTGTATTGTTATCCTCACTCCACATTTTCGAAGAGTGACAAAATTAATATTCCTATTTAAAGTTTATCTTTATAATTAAATTTTATAATATTATAACTCTCGTGTGTTTGTGTGTGTATATATATATATATATATATATATGAGGGTTGGTGTCCAGTCTATCTATACATATTTAATGACATCCAATTTATCATTTAAAAAGTTGTTGTGTTTGTAATCGATTTTTTTCAGAATTCTCCATCTAAACTAATAGAATTATATCATATAACCTGCACATAATTAATTCAAATTTTATATGATCAAAATACCCCTAATATATATATATATATATCAAGAAATTGTTTTTTCAAAACTTTCCACATGAGCAGTGCACGTACACGTGCTCATGTATCAAAGGATTTGAAACATCACATACATGCAATTGAAGGCAAACTAACCTGAAACTAAATTGTGTGTATTTCTCAATTTATCGAGAATCAGAACCCTAAACCCTTTATTAGGTCATTAGACACAAGATTTTGATTGTAAACATCTAAATCAATTCATCATTAACCACAAAATTTTCAAGGCATTTTTTTTTTAGTTACGTGTATTTTGGACATATGAAATATGAAATTATTCATGTGCAGATTACATGATATAAGAAATTCTGATAAAAAGATAGATCGAAAACATAATAACTTTTAAAAAGAAGATTGAATGCAATTAAACATGTAAAAATAAATCGGATACAATGTCTAAAATATAAGGATATGTGGAGCTATTTCTCCGTTTGTCAAAAGCTAACAAACTTTCATTTGTAACTTTTGAATTTTGGCTTTTATATAACTTTCAGAATAATTTTTAAAATTTTATCAAACATCTGTTTCAATGGGTTCTTAAAATATATATATATATATATATATATATATATATATATATATATCAAAAGTTGGTAATTCCAAACATACTCTGATACGTTAAATAAATATATTAGTGATAAAAAAAATTGGGTATAGCGATGATATAAATATAAAATATTAATTGTATCAAAAAATGAGTAATAATAAAAATAATAAATTAAATCTAATAACTCACTGTATAATTAAGTATCAATTAAAATATATAAAAACAAATATCAAACTCAATCAACGATATCAATTTGCATGTATAAGTGTAAGTTTGGTGTTTACTTCTTTTTTTCTTTTTTAGTTAGGTTTTAAAAAAATTAATAGATAATAATTATCTTTAAACTTCAATTTTGGGAACTAAACGGTTGGTAAAAGGGATTAAGTGAACACAAGAATAGAAAGAGAGAGAGAGAGAGAAGCAAAGAAAGTTCGGCATGCAATCATTTGGCCCACGTAATTGAAGAAAAAACGTGAAGGGTAAAGCTAAAGATAAATTAGTTGTAGTTAGGACTTAGGAGGAAAGTATAGCAAATAGCAGTAGTAGTTTAGTAAAAACAAAAAAATTGAAATGAAAAGCGTACTCCTACAAGTGTCGTCATCAGCATCACAGCTCCTCTCAAAATCAAAATCACCACTTCTCTTTTATCATCATCGCTTTCCAAACTCCATTTCTCTCAATTTCTCTTTTTCTCCTCCTCGAAGCTTCTCGATCATGGCTTCCGCTGAGGAATTCGTTAAGGGAAATGTTCATCCGAACGGCGTCGCTGTTATCACTCTCGATCGCCCTAAAGCTCTCAACGCCATGAACTTAGGTGCTGCTCTTCCCTTATCTTTAATTTGTAGTTGACTTTTTTTAATTATTAATCAAGTATACTAAATACATGCCTTTGGATCGGTTTTAAGAATTTAATTCTACTGTTTGGATTTATTATTACTTAAGTGAGTGAGAACGCCCAGTGTTATATATATATGTCTTTTTTTTTCTTTTTTCTTTTTTACTCAAGTTATGATTATTTGTATGATGCAGATATGGATATAAAATACAAAAAAATTCTAGATGAATGGGAATCGGATCCAAGGGTCAAATGCGTTCTGGTTGAGGGCAGCTCGCCTCGTGCCTTTTGTGCAGGTAAACAGGTCTGAAAGATGCTTGATGGGTTGTTAACATTTACGTTTGAATGGTTTTGGAGGGTGACCATCCATGGAAAAAAACCATGCAGGAATGGATATAAAAGGGGTTGTTGCTGAGATTCAAAAGGCCAAAAACACTCCTCTTGTGCAGAAGGTGCTATATGCACTTTTCTCGTTCTATTGCTTCTTTTAGCACAAATTCCTGCATAATTGTGGTTACACTGCATAATTCTGGTTTATTTATTTATTTGTTATATATATATATATCTGTGGCATTGGTGTACCTGATTCTTTGACCGCTTGTCTAATCGATTACCGAGATCAAAGTTTATCTGCAGGTGGTGATATCAAGGATATTGCAAGCATACGCCAACTGTCAGATATGATTGAGGTTTTGTTGTGTCCTTCTAGTTATATAAACTTATGACCTTCACCTTGCGTGTTGTTAGACCAAGTTCACACAATTCCCATTCCTTGTTTCTTTATTGCAAGCACCATGGTTGGTCACATGGTCAATTTTCACAAAAACACTTGCAGCCATACTTAGAACCAGTCTGTTCCTATAGCCTTGACCCATTTCCATTTTAAGAGTTTATGTTTGAAGATCCATAAGATAATGTTTGGTCGTGTGTAATGTAATATGATGTGCTGTGTTGTGACACGGGAGATATATCACTATATGAACTTCATTCTATTGAATTCTACCAAACATACCATAATTTCTTCACCAATATACTGATTGTTTTCTTAAAGAAAAAGAAACATTAGTACTTGCTGACCTGAAGTCCATGAGTAATTTTGCTGCTCAACCCTCTTCTAGGTTCTCAAATGAAAATTAGATTACTACATACACCCAAAGAAATAAGTGGACTTTTGCTATACTTACATCCACACACGTGCACATGGAAGTTGTTCTGCATCTGTGATTTGAGCTGATTTAGTGATTTCAAGCACATTTTAAGTTATGCTACTTGATCAAACTGTCATGCTCTTCTTTTTACATTGTGCATTCACATATTATTTTTTCATGATCCTGATGTCAACTCTTTGCAGAACAAGTTAGCCGTTGTATGTGTTGTTTGGATTGGATCAAATTTCTTGCTAAGTTGCTAACAAGAACTCCCTACCCCTCCTTGTGGTTTTTATTATAGTTACAGCGCTACAATTAAAAATTTTAACAGCTCATTATCTTTTGTAACAGTATCTTCTTTAAAAAGTTAATACACACATGGAAGTTGGATTAAAATTTGTTGGTATTCTTGCAAATGAGTTATAATTCAACTTTTTTCTTTTTCTTTTTTCTTTTTTAATCTAGTATCAAGTCTGTCTTCATCAATATAAAGGGCTATATATTTTACAAAGAGAACCAAATAGGTCTAAAACTTTATACTCATGTCCTAACATCTGAAAATTAGAAAACCACACCTCCGAGTATCACAATCTTTAAGTAACGTGAAGTTCACACAGGTCCAAAATGCATAAATTTCATGTACTAGTTATGTATATATCTCTAAACTGAACACTAGCTATTAATCTATTGAAATAAGATTTTCCCTTTATTTTTTATTTTTTAATTTGCAATTCAAATATTAAATAATTGTTGTGTAGAATGAAACAGCCATAAGGCCATGATAATATTAATAAAAATATTAATTAGCCTTATTGTTTTTTTACATCACTAAACACTTAGAGAATGAATTTTTCAACAGAAGTTTACTTAACACCATTACTTTTTACTCCTGAATTAAACGTCTGGCTCCATGCTGTTTTGCGTTATTGTATATTTATGGGTACTGATTCAAAGAATACATCTTTATACATGTTTCCTATTAGTTGGCTCTTAATGCATTGAATAATTCTATGTTGTTACCAGAACCCAATGCTTTATTTTCTTTCAGGTGTTCACTGCAGAGTATTCTTTAATATGCAAAATTTCTGAGTACAAAAAGCCATATGTATCGTTCATGGATGGCATAACGATGGGCTTTGGAATTGGCCTATCTGGTCATGGTCGGTACCGGATTGTAACAGAGGTATGCTTTCTTGTGGAATTGAAACCTTTGCTCTTATGTGTCTTTTCAAGAATGGTGTTGTGCAATTTTTTTCTGATTTATAGTACTTCATGAACTCATATACAGAGGACACTTCTTGCTATGCCAGAAAATGGTATTGGCTTGTTCCCAGATGTCGGCTTTTCCTATATAGCAGCAAAAAGTCCAGGAGAAGGATCAGTTGGTACATGTTTTTTATTTCTTAATTACCAAACTATTATCTGTTTCTTGAACTGGAATTTAGAAAGAAAAAAATTTACTCCATGATCCCGTAATGAGAAGGTTACAACTAGGGCATGAAGGACATGTTTATTTATCATGTATCTTTGGAAATTACTTCTTTTGATGAGAATCAATAAGCTTAGATTAAGAGCCAGCAAGAAAAATGGCAGGAAAAAATTACAAACAAAGTTACATCTTTGAAAATTATTTATTTCTCCATGATACATTTTTAATCTCTCCAAATCAGTTCCTTTTCTTCTACGAGTACAAAACAAAAAAAGAATCTCTCCTTATGGTTGGAGATTGGGTCGGTGCTTTTTGGGATAAGATGTTGATATATTTTCTGGAAACTTCTACAAAATCTATTGTCCCAGGATTGCACATGAAACAAGAAACGTTATGTGTTAATTTGATAATTCATGGTACCTGGCTCTTTGATTTCAGAGATCAAGTGCTGGGATGAAGTTTTAACATTTTTTATATTGTGCAAAAATCTTGGTAGCGAACCTTTATCACCAAGATATGGTTACTAAGATGATCCTGTGCTTATATCTTGATGCTAAACTCTTATATTGTTGGCTCCTCACAGTTTTTCAATAGTTAACAAAGTAGGGTTTATTTTCTTAAATTAATAACTGGCTCTTTTGAGAACTAGTCGGTGATGGTTTTTCCTTACCTAATCTGCTGTGGCTTTTTTTTTTTTTTTTTTCCCTTTAAAGTGTGGTAACTGATCTTACATTTTGCAGGAAATTATCTTGGATTGACTGGAAAGAGGATTTCTACACCCTCTGACGCGCTATTTATCGGTCTCGGATCACACTATGTTCCATCTGGGAAATTAGCCTCACTGAAGGAGGTCCTTTTAGCAGTTACCTTGTACATCCCAGAAAATCTCTTTATTTTGAGCATTTTAATTTTGGTGAAAAATAATTTATTGAGGATCTCTTGCAACCTAATTAATTACTTATTTTTTTTCAAAAGTTTGCCGTATATAATAAATAATTGAAGAAAAAAGTCATGCCCCTTTAGTTGATAATACTGTATCAATTTAATTCGTTAACTATTGAAAATCCCAGTTGTTGGGGCTTGTTGGATTCATAATTCTTCTTGCTTTTACTTTAGATTTGCCCCACACAGCATTTGCATTTCAAGGTGATATAGCCAATTTAAGTGATGTATTACCAGTAGGAAATTGTTTATTTGAACTCTAAACTTCTCACTATAGAAATTATGTATTCCCTGTCAAGACAGTTCCAACGACCCTCATCAGGATATGAAAGCACTTTTAGCAGAGTATGGCCATGACCCTGAGTCTGAGTCCCAGTTGGAGTCACTGTCACCTCAAATAATCTCAACCTTTGGTCCAAATAAGTCAGTGGAGGAGATAATTGAAGAGTTGAAAAGGCATCGGCTGAGTGCTGATCCTAAAGGTTAGCTTAATTGATGCCAATTGATTGACATGCTTATTTGCTTAGTTGGTACTCAATAGTTCATAAGTCTCTGTATCTTGCTGATCATAGGAGCGTGGCATTGTATACTGTTGTTTTCATCAATTTGTTTTTGGTTCTCCTATGTACACATCTGATTTTCTTGATTTCTTCTTACAGTGGTGGAGTGGGCAAATGATGCTCTTCAAGGCATTGGAAAAGGTGCTCCTTTTTCTCTTTGCTTGACACAGAAATACTTTTCTCGAGTTGCGTCTGCCTTTGGTAAAACTGAAAATGAATTATCTACGGTGAGTTTGGACTTGTGGTTTTCATTGTCTTTATCTGTTCCTTAATTCCCCTATCAAATGGAGTTTAGTTTATTAACAGTTGTGTTCATCTGGTATCAGCTAACTGGTGTGATGAGAACAGAATATCGCATTGCCCTAAGGTCTTCTCTGCGAAATGATTTTGCTGAAGGTGTTAGGGCAGTCTTGGTCGACAAGGATCAGGTTCTATTCTTCATGGTCCCTTTCTTTTTTGTGGTCCAAACTGGAATTTTTGCGTCTTCAATTTGATTTTGCAACTAATGTCTTGCTGATTTTCATTAACTTGACATTTTTCAGTTTTACAACTATAGGTTTGTAGTTTTCTCTTCTAAATGTAAGATACACTGGTATATTAAAATAACTACTATTGTATCTAATTATTTTGCATGTGGTTTAACATTATTGCATTTTATTAGAAGAGATATTAGCATCAGTTTTCATTGCTTTTTGCTAGTTGATGCACTATTTAGTTCTCTGTGGATTGTTTAGCTTGTCGTCTCTGTTTTGTTTTCCGTTTCTGTTTCAATCCGTTTTTTGTATAATCCTCGTCACATCTAAAGTATAGTCTTCATTTTCCCCAGTTTGGTTATAGTTGTGGATTATTTGCTTAGCAGTTTTGCATGATTTTACATCAGGCAAAACCCAAAGTTGGATTATTTGCTTAGTAGTTTTGCATGATTACATCTTGGCAGAACCCAAAGTGGAACCCGGCAAGCTTGGAAGAAGTAGATCAAAGTGAAGTGGAATCTCTCTTCAAACCATTGAGCCCAGAAGTCGAGTTGACAGCATGAGCACTGCAATTGAAATTATCCTCTGAACTTGTTATATGAATAAAACTGGAGCAGTGAAGAGAATGTAAAGAAATGATTATGAATTTGTAGAACAGAAAAACCGTTCTTGAATTATAGGTTTGGTGCCATAATGCTACTTTTTTTGTGCTTGCTATAGATGGCTGATTCTGAATCTTGTGACCCTGATAAATAACATTTAGAATTATGGGAGTTCGAAAATTTTAAGGGTAAACCTGGTATATGAATGTTTTTTTTTTGTGGTCATCTCATCTTACAATAAATCGGGATACCTTTTTGAGGATGAAACGAGAGAAGCAAAACCACATGTGCTGAGAACTCCCATTCTTGAGAACAAGGACCGCATCATGCTCTTCCCACTATAGCGCAATTAAGAACAATTACAGCATCTTTAATGAAATTCAGCATCTAGAAGCAGCGAAAATTTCCAAAATGACTAAGAACTGGCATTTACATGCAAGGCAAAGGGTTTTTTCAACAGCGAGGTCAGGAAGATGTGGAGATCCAGATGCCAAATGCTTTAACCCATGCTTGGCACGTCAGATCCAGTAGTGTGATTCACCTCCAAACAGCAAGCTGCCTGCACCTTCCAGCCACCATAAAGAAAGCTCTGGTAAACAAGCTTCTTTTGGAAAATGAGATGATAAGCAACCACAGAGGGCAGCTTCTTTTTTTTTTTTTGGTTTAGAAATTCATCAAACTGGAAGCATATTTAGGAACAATCTCCACTTCTCAAACTTTGTAAGAGATCCAAGTATCCCAAGCATTCAGGACTGATATACCTGAAATGAACACAGATATCAATTAATTTTAGAACGAAAATCACACAGGATGTGTTTATTATTTGCTAGAAGGCCTCTTACAATAATCATTCCATGAATCTAATTAACGAAAAGAAAGATTTAGAGGACATGTGTTAGTTGCAGCCCAAGTGATTTTCTCTGCATGCAAGAATGGTATGGCTTGAAACCCATCGAGATAGTATATAGCAATGATGGTGGAGACTAATACAATATGATCTACGTCATCATTCCTTGTTTTTCAATGATCTAGAAAGAACACAAACTGCAGATTCACTCTACTTAAACTATCTGTGACGAGGTCTAACAATCCAGGATGCTTAAGTAGAAATTGATGTTAAGAAAGTTCTCACAGAATCTACTACGAGTTTTCAGAAGTGGAATAATTGAAGGAAATTCAGTGTATAAACTGGAATGTATACCAGAACAATAAAATTATTAAGATTTTATGCTCTATCGCATCATCAGCAAAGCAGTAACAAACCTATACCTAGCTCTGATACTGCCTGTAATCTTTCAGAAGTCAGAACTTCATCTATAGACTTAGGTAGGCCATTATCTTCCTCAGGAAATATCAAACTGTGTAGAAGCCTCAACTTTGAGCATGAATGCTCTTGTTGCGAGGAAGACAATGAAGTTTTAGGTGAAGGGACCAAGACGTTAGTTTGTGTGATTCTTGTGGCAGGTCATGGGTGTTCTGGTCTTAATGAGTGCTGGAAGACCGAGGTAAACTTACAGGTGACCCAATCGCTTGTATAATTACAGTCAGAAACTGATAAATGGATGTTATTTATTTTCTCGACATGAAGTAAGAGGCAGGTAAGGATACAATAGATAGCAAAGAAAAATAGTTTACTTTTTGTGGTTAAATGACTAACCGCCAAATAAGTGAAACAAACAAAGGAAACAATAGAGAAGAAATACCCATGTCGAAACAGAAAATCCATGATAACAAGAGAGCAATTAGGCTTGAAAAAACCAGTCCTCCGTATTACATTTGCAACATTCTCCACAGGGATCAACTTGAAACTCTCCACTTCCCCATCTGTCACAGTTTGATAAGGCAGTGATGGTAAAGATAATATGAAATGCCAGGAACATAATCATCAAATTTATAAGCATATTTAAAAATCTTGCGGAATTGACATATAATTCCAGCTGAAAGTAACCCGAGCTTTCACAGATTTACCTCGATTATTAGGTATAAAACCATCAGGGAGTTCTAAATCATAGCAAAATAGAACATCCCTTTTGTATCTATACCCATCAACGTCCACATAAGAAACAGCGCCAACTGATATGGCTCTGTAAAGAAGCAACATAGACCCATCATCAGAAAGAGAGTGGTCACAACCAAAGCAAATTGATCAACGATATGCTGCTGAATGCAACTCAGCAGGAAGAGAAAACTTACTGATTAGAAAGGGATGAAGGAATTGCTGCTTCCTCTTCACATTCCTTTATAAGATTTGCACCACAAGAGATCCCGTGAGGCTGTCATTCCCATAATGGAAATAAAACGTAAGAGTTGGGTTAGAAATGAAGTGACAATTCTATGGCAGGCTTATTTTTGCCAGTTGCCACTACTAAAGCAAAAGGATCTGCAAATATTGTTGTTACTAATGCAGAACTCTGAGTTGCTAAACTGCCTCACGATTTAACTTTGGCCTTTCACACTCGGAGTTCAGTTCAGAATTCACCAAACACTTTGTGATCATAATATTCAGAGCATTCAAATGTTAAAAATATATATGTTATATTCCCCTTCATCTTAGACAATGCAAACCGAATACCCATTTCAACGGATGGTATACAAGTAAGAATGTGGATTTCATATATAACTAATGAATATGATAGATAATTACAAACCAGTCCACCAGCAACAAGATGATCAAGCATCCAGGGAAAAGTTTGTTTCCCTGGACTTCTCTTTCCTATCCATAGAAATTTCTTTCCATCTCTCTCCACAAAACCATTCATGTGAACTCCATACGCCTACTCTCGTAGAATTGAATAAAAATAAATAAATAAATAAAAATAAAAACTTCTTTAATTCTACCAAACAAAAAAAAGAAAGAAGAACGCAAGATATACATCAGGAGCACAGACCTTAATTCCAAAATAAGGAGCAGCAGCACGTTCAAGCGAAAAATAGGGGGGCGACCCGAACGAATGTGTGACAGGATACAACTGATTGAATTTTTTTTTTAAAAAAAAAAAAAGATAAATAGACAATACAGCAAAAGTTAAACAGATTATGTATAAAAATAAATAAATTTGCTCCATAGAGTTGATGATTTTGTACCTCGTTTCGTATACCTGGAATTAGTTGTTTATCTTCTTCAGCCAAGCATTTGATTACCTCTCCAACAACTCTGGTTCTTTCCTCTGCCGTGTTTATTGTTTTAGTTAAAGTCACATTAATGCCAAAACGAGAATCACTTTGAGACAAAACAAACACGTCCTTAAACCTCCTCAAATAATCAACAAAACTGCCACAAATGAAATTCATCAAATTTTTTTTAAAAAAAAAATTCCTATTTTCTTAAAATGCAAAAAGGAAAAGGAGAGATTACCTTACCCGTTATGTATGTAACCAACTATTTGGCCCTCCATCACGAATGGAATAAATTCAGATTTTAATTCCTGCAGATGTTAAAGTCATACTGCCATAAGAAATTCTTCTTTGCTAAATTTTTCAAGCGACCAAACAGAGAGGGAAAAAAGAGCTCTATACGGAGCCGCCGCGATTGCAGTATTTGATCTTTTCGAAGAAGCCAGAGAGATCTGAAGAATCATTTGGGGCATATTCAGGTTGAGAGACTCGAACGACGTCGTCCCAAGTGAAGCTGCAAGAAGAAACAAGAGATGATGATACAGAGAGACAAGTAAAAGCAGCACAACTTCTTCTTCCTCTTTTTGTTATTGGCTTATTGAGAGAAGCAAATGAAAATCGGATTTTGTGAGAAAGGAGGTGAGGATTTATGGCCATCGTCACCAGAATTGAATGAGACTCTCCCCGGACCGGAATTCCAAAATTTTAATTCCAAAGCCAACAAACAAACAGGAAAAGTCTGAATTTTCCTTCAGCTAAAGCTTCGGTTTGGGTATTAACAATGCTTCGTCCTTGCACTCTTCAAATATTTTTTATTGAGTCCCTGAACTGTTTTTTTTGGTTTAATGAAGTCTGTATGTTATGTAAAGTCTATAATGTGATCCCTCCGTCCAAGTTGACGGCTAGTCGAAACATTTGATTTAATAAATCATTAGCACTTGTCATTTCATAATTTAAAATAATTTTCAAATTTCAATTAAATCTTTTAATTAATAAAATTTTAAAAAATTGTTATCCATAAAATTAGAAATTCATAAGATTAATTGCAAATTTGAACATCTTAGGGTCTAGGTAAGTGACATAACAAACAATTAAATTCAATCGGGATATTTAAATTCCTATAGTAAATGTTATCATGATTAATGAGTAAAAACTATTAATGATTACATAGCTCTTTATGGTTGATGATTAACGGTGGAGGTTAATGACTTGTTGAGATCCTTCAAGCTTAAGCTATCTACGAAATAAGTTTTTTTAGTTGATTAAGAGACCATCCGATGACTAAATGACTTATTAGAGAGAGGAGATGCCTAAGTAGGCTTTCGTGTGTAAGTCCGTTGTCATAGGGGTGTAAAATAGAGAGTTCGGCAATCTTGAAAAAAAAATAGAAAAAAAACGAGTCATCACCTAGTATTAGGATAACTAGAAAACTCAAATCATCGGTATATACAGAATATTAAGTAAGAAGTTGGTTATAGGTAGGAAAGTTCAAGATTATCGCAATCGCTTCCTACCTACATTACATACATGTTGAATGTCAATGTCTAGTTTTACTATATTGTGAATTTATGCTTATTTAGGTGTGCTTATCTTTTGATTAGAAATTGATTGGTCGAGTAATTTAAAAATTAGATTAGTTAAATGCCCATTTCTTTGCTTTGAAATTAAAAAAAAAAAAAAAAAAAACATTTAAGGGGTGGCGAGCCACTAGTTGTGTCAAGCTCATGAACATATATAAAAAAAAAAAAAAAAAAGCCATGAATGGTATCAAGCCCATATTACATATAAAAATAGTGATGACACAAGTGGGGGAACTCATAAAAAATAATGATGTCAAGCCCATAACTCTTTCAAAAATAGCAATGCCATGAGTAGCCCCAAGCCTATAAATCATATAAAAGAGATGAGCTACAAATGGCATCAAGCTCAAAAACACATAAAAAAAATAGTGATGCCATGGGTGCTTCAAGCCTATAAACACATTAAAAATAGTAATGTCATGAGTGACATCAAACTCAAAAATATATTTAAAAGTGGCAAGCCACAAATGGCGTTAAACTCATAAACACATTTGAAAAATTAACCCACAAACATTTAATAATGATGGTGTAGAAATTCAAAGCCAATATCGCACCCTCTAACATATCAGCACATACATCACACCAATAATTTTATGAAAATACTCGTTGGTATTTAGAACTAATGCTATATGTTCTAACACACCAATACAAACATCACTTAAATCATTTCGCAAACTCGAGTGCTAGCCTTTAGAGCTAACAAGGATCATTATAACACATACACACATATTACATGCATTCTTCCGCAAACATGGTGTCGGCTTTAAGAGAGAACACTATTATTATAACACATTCACATATATTACAAATATTCTTTTGCAAACATGGTGTTGGTCTTTAGAGCTAGCACCAAACATTATGCCACATACACATATAACTTAACAAATACGATGTCGACATTCAAAGTAAGTACCAAATGTTATAACACATACACATATATAACATCTAACTGATCTCATCAAATAAACAACATAACATATTTCATTTGTGCATACCTAGAATGACACTCATTTCGGATAAACCATTTGAATTAAAATCCATTCTCAATCGTTCTAACTTCATCACATAGCATTAATACATATCTTATTTTTTCTCAAGATATCCTAGGTCTCATAATCTTTTGAATTTGATATGTGATGAAGTATTTTAATTACACTTCAAATATCAACTCAAACTACATTTCATTCTAGATCTTAAATAACAGTGAAAGTAAATAAAAAAAAAATGGATGAAAACTTACCTGATTAGTACAAAATGACCAATATACCTTTTTACAATTGACAGAACTTCTCTTATATAAAATGACCAAACTCCCCTAATGGCAATTCGATTCGAAAAGTTGTGAGGACCATTTCTATTTACTCCACCAGACTCAAATAGTTGGAGAAGCTGGTGCAACCTTCTTTTACCCTCCGATGAAGACAACAACCAGGGCTGTGAACTAGAAAGGAAAGGTTAACACCCACAAATAGAGCTTCTTTTTCTTACTCCTTTGCATGCTTTGAAGAAGCTGAATATTAGTTTAAACTAGTTAAAAATAAATAGTAAACCTTAGTAATTCTTATTTTAGACAAGAGGGTTCAAGAATTATTTTGAGCTAAATCAAACTATTTTTCCTTCTAAAATCATCATCGCCTATTTGAAGAATATTTTCGCTTTAAAATTCTTTAGTGGTGGTGGTATTTAAGCTTGGAGGAAGGGTTATTGATGGTGATTTAGGAATGGCAGCAATGGCTTACTATTGCTATGAGGCAGTTTTGGGATAAAGGGTTAGCTTGGCGAGGATTTTCAAGTTTGTACGGCGGCTTAGGGGCCGTGGCTGTTAGAGAGTGGACGTTGATAGTAGAACAGCTTATTTTTCCTTCCTTTCTCAATCAATTTTCTCACAAAAAGATGGTAATCGAAGGCCAAAACCTGTCAAGAACCAATTCTTGACCCACACAAGAGTTAATTTAATTTATTATATGGTGATTTGTTATCAAAAAAATGGATAGTATGAAATGAATCGTATTCGAGTCAGCGAGCTAAAGATTCGCTCTTGACGAGTTCAACCTTCCACAGCATTTTCCTTCATCATTGAAATTAAAAAAAAAGTGCTAAAGTTGTTTAGTGATTAATTTATGGCTGGATTTATAACTAGATATGGTTGAAGGACCTTTATATCTAAAAAGCAGAGGCTGACGGGTTTTAAGCCATCATTGGTTTGGAGGAGGAAAAACTGGCGAGTAATGATCAATTGGGTTGTTAAGGTGTTTGGGAGGTGGTTATAAGTGGTTTTCTCCATAAATATGGTCAGAAAGGAAGGGTGGCTGTAGGTGATGAGACTGTGGGTTGTTGAAAACGGGCAGGTTCCTTCTGTTCTCTATTTCGGTGATGAGACTGTAGGTGATGAGACTTTTTTGGTCTCTTTCAAGACAGAATGGCTGTGACCCTAGAAGAGAGAAGAAATGTGGGTTTTACGGTGAGATTTATAGAGATTAAGGGATAAAATCCAATCCGGTCCATTATTTCTCTACTTTACTTGATTTTGGTTCATGTCTCTTCATTTTCTTTCAATTTTCTCCCATAATTGAAATTTTTTAGTCTCTTTCTTTTTATTGATCTCAATTCCACCAAACTTGCCATCAATTAAGGTCATTGACTTTTCATCTTTTCCAATTATACCTTTAATCAGATTTCATTTGATCTCTATTTCTCTTATTTTTTTCAACTGAGCTCACATTAACTCTTTTTAATTTATTCTCTTTTTCTTCCTTTTATTTTTGTATTTTCTTTTTTCAATTTTCAATATATATTCTCTCATTCATTATTTTTCACTCATCAATTTTTGTCATTTTTTTCCGAACTACCAAAAATCATGGGACTCCTAAAAATTCTAACAAAAAGAGTAAAAATTTGTAAAAACAAAGGGGTAAAAATTGAGTGATAATAGTTACCCTCTCTTCATAAAATTTTCGATGCAACATCATGGAAAATCATTTTTCTTTACTCGATATAGAAAGCTTTATAAAGAAAAATAAATAAATAAATGATTTGTGAGGTTAAAAAGACCTCTTCTTTATTAATTTGTTATTTAATACAATCTATCCCTATATGTCTGTTTTTTTGACAAAACCTCCTTATGAGTTTGCTATTTGGGATAACCTATTTCTATAGGTCATTAGAAAACCATGTAACCTTTTGTATGAAATGAAAAATCATATGCATTTTAAGGGAAAAAAGGTTTTCATCACTCAAATCTTTTCAAATCATAATTAGATACTAAAACGGTATCAATCATAAAATGATGCCGATTGAGATGGCCATGTCCACGTCTATCTTGCAACAATGATAAGATTGCAAAGGAATGTTGTTTACCTAAAAAAGATAGATCACGCTTAGAAAGCTCAATCTCTTTCTTTTGATTGGATTGCTCGCAACGAGCATTGAACATAGCATGTTTTGAAATATCAACCTTTGGTTTGCTCGAAATAATTCTTTTGTCTTCAAGTTTAGTCATTTCATGACTATCTTGATAAATGCTTAAATGTTGAATTCCTAAGCTCTTATCCGTCCCTTTCATCGACTACGGTTGCTCATGATTGATCTTGTTACACTTGGGTTATCAATAGGCTCAAGGTTGTCATTTGATGACGTCTCCTTCTAATTATTCTAAGTCTCATAAATCACTATCCACCATTTCATCTAAATCACTAAACTAATTAGGGCATGCCTCTAAGTGTTGGCGGTGATCATTCATCTATCATCTACTTTCCATTGTCATTGCACGTGTTCATCTTTTATTTTTTATATTTGTAAAAAAATCAAACCGATCGTGTCATATGCCCCACATATGGTAAATATAGTTCATTTTTCGTATGTCCGCCTCTTTCATTGCTCATATAGTCTATCTTTTTCTTATGTTTGCACTTGATTTTATAAATTATTCTTTAAACTTTCATCAATTTTTTATAAAATCATTTTTAATTGTTTTGATCTTTATGGATTAAATTATATATTTGAATTATTTTCTTCAAAACAAATTGAATTATTTAAAAAAATTGTAGAAATGTTCATAAGAAAGTAGTTTCATTCATA